ATAATAATAATAATGATAATAACAACAACAACAACAACAATTAGCAATAACCATACTGATAATTACATTATGTTGTCTAATTAAAGTAATTTGCTTTTTAAAATTTGACTAGGTCTAGGTTTTCATAAATGTTAATTTCCTTGACCTCTATCTCCGACATCTTTGTTAGATCTGAATCATATTTTGGTAGGACTTGAAAAGAACTTACAATAAATTCATTTCCAAGTGTTCTAATACGAAAAAATTACTTGACGATTGATGTCTTTAAAAAAATGTATTTCGCGACGAAGTAATTTGTCGATATATCATGTCCTTGCCTTTGATATTTTGAGGAAAAACTTTTCGGATGTATGTTGTTAAACCCTTTTACCATGTTTTAAATAAGGCCCGAGTGCCTGTCTTGCTCCGAGACATTAAAAAAGTCTCATGTTTGTGCTAAATTCTAAACTAACTTTTGCGCCACTGAAACGCCAGAGAATTATTAATACTTACTTCACCTTAGCCACGACAATCTAACGTACGTCATCAGAGGTCAATAAAAGAGGATACCCTTCCCTTGCGTGGCGGTGGATGGATAGTGTTACTGGTCCGTCTTATTTCTTTTTGTCCACTGTTCTTTTTGCCTGTCAGTCTCACTTTCCGTCTGTACTAGATAACTATCAAGGTTCCGCGTGCGTCTTTCCTCCCAGAGAAAGAAAAAAGGAACAAACAAATATAAACGAACAAAATAACAAACAAGCAAACAAACAAACAACCAAAACAAACATGCCAGTCAAGGTCTGTCATCCCCCTCCCCCCTCCGCACCCCTTTCCCCCCGTTTTTCCCTTTTCTTATTAATTAAAAGCGATCACCCTGGTTCAGTCAGTTTAGAATATGAGACACTCGTAAACGTTTTGGAAATATATAAGACGACCATACAAGTAATAAGAACAGGAACTTCCCCCGCCTGAATTTTATTCACGGAGGAAAGGACCAGAGTCCACAAAACTATTAAACCAGACATTATATAAATAAAGGAAGAGGGGTAAAAAGAGAGGAGACTATGCCGCCCTTGTCTTTTTTTAAAGTCTCCATCACACATCAGCTCCCTTCCCTTCTCCCCTTTCCCTATCCCCTTCCCTCTC